GAGGCTATCTTATCCGTAGGTGTATAATATCGGGGCTATTGTACTGTCATTTTGTAAATGGTTTCAGGACCGTGCAGTAGTTTCCGGTAGCGCCTCTGGTTGACACGATGAAGGGTACTCCTTCGGCTGTATCTCTGGGGGACTCTCTTCAGGTTATCTATAAATGCGACTCTTGTGAGTGTATCTGTCTTTGTGTATACCATCTTCTACCAACCAAAGCACACACGAAAACAATCAAAACATCACCCCCACAACTGTTGTGGTAGGATCCACCTAATTTGCATAGTGGAGTACCGACTATATAAATACGGTTGGTACCGGGAAGACGAGGGGAGGAATCAAGAGATTCAATCCAGAGACTCTGCCCGACTGCTACTAAGTCAACACATTCTCCAGGAACGGTCTTCCCAAGAATACACAAAAGACTATATGTAAATATTGTGTTACTTTCTTGTTTCAATACATTTTGTTCTAAGTACATTTTGTGTTGTATTATTATTCCATGCATTAGTCAAGTTTCAACAACAACAAAACAAAGTAGAATCCTCATATGCCATCTCCTACACCAACGTGAGGGGTCTGCGTTTCAACTTTCCAGAAGTGAAACACCATCTTCTCGAATCTAAACCAGACGCGCTTCTATTTTCTGAAACCGGTATCAACACCTCATGCGCACTAGGAGAGTTCTCAATTGCGGGTCCTCACCTCTCAAAGCCAAACATGAACACCTAAATGGTCGCGGCCACGGAGCTGATATCAAGGACGGGTTTCCCTGAGGAAGGTACGCATAAAAAGAGGAACCCGACCTCCCGCATATGTCCTTCCGCGTGGTACTTATCTATAGTACCACGTTCGTCTTAGGACGAAGGGTCAGTAATTGTCGACTGAATATCTGGGAAGATTGACAATATCCTCACTCAATTCACCTCAGCCAGCTTTCATATCTGCTGTGACTTCAATATCCACCATAAAGAGTGATTAGTCTACTCCAATAAAACGTTGAAGGCAGATATTGCAGCGATTTCTCAATCGCCTATTAACGAACACAGATGATCGGAGGACCTACCCGGGTCCCGGATACTACGGTATATCAGGCGAACCTCTTCGATTTCTTCCTCACCTCCTTCCCTGATAAATGCCTGTCAAAAATTTTACCTCTTCTAGGCACGTCTCACCATTCCCTAATCAGTGTCCAGATTGATGCCAAACTGTTATGGAGTGATTTCACAGTGGAGGCTTGTATTTGTACTAAGTCGGTCCTAAAATAGGTTCGACGTACAAACTTTAGGAACTTCGTATAATAAGTACTTTAGTATCCGACTTACGGTCGTCCGGTATCGACTGACTGAGCGACTGCGCGACGGTATTTAGTCACCCTCCCACGTGGGCATCATGTGGCACAAGGCCGGTTTAACGTGGGATCTCCGAGCCCGTAGGTTCGGCCAAAAATATGCCCATTGAACCCGTATAAACGGGTTCAGGGTCGATTTTTTTCCCGAAAGAGAATCAATATCGGCGTAGCCTGTTCAGGTTCCTCCCCGCTCGAAGGGGGAGAATTTAACCGATCAGCTGGTCGTCCGACTTCAGACTGAACTCAGAGCGACGATATTCAGTCACCCCACCCACGAGGCCTTTTTAACGTGGGATCTCCGAGCCCGTGGGCTCGGCCAAAAATATGCCCATTGAACCCGTATAAACGGGTTCAGGATCGGTTTACCTCCCCGAAAGAGAATCCGCCCGAAGGCAGAGAGTTCAACCGGTCAGCCGGTCGTCCGACTTCAGACTAAACTCGGACCGAATCGCTGAGCGACTCGTAACTCTTACGACTCCTACTTATTATAGGTGAGACAGTCTATTAACTATAGAATAGGTGTGTTCCACTATAACACAAACCTAAGGCATCCCGTGACGTACTGTTCCATAGAACGATTTTTCGCATTGAGAAGGCAGACTTTGACAGCTTTCGATCCTACAAGATGGAAGCTCTCCTCCCAACCTTCTTCAAGAAAGCTGCCTCAAAAACTGCTGCCATTGTTACTGTTTGGTTCCTTTCTGGAATGGAGAATTTTATACCCCCCAAAAAATTCCATCAAAAACCAAACAGTCAACCCTGGTTCACTCCTGAATCGGCTACAGCCATAACTCACCGAAGCCACTACTTCAATATCTATCTCAAGTAGCGAAGTATTTCGGCCCTCATTGCATTCAGAACTCAATCGCCACAGAAAGTTCGAGAAAACGCCAAATACAGCTACGCACGAGTGACCCAGACCAAGGTTAAAAAGAAACAAATTAGATACAGTGAATTCTAGAAGATCACCAACCAAATCGCGAACAGATGTAAAACGGCTGTGCCCAATATTATAAATGGTCCCGTGTTGATAACTCCCTCAACTGATAAGGCGAACCACTTCGCCTCCATCTTTGCCTCTAACTCAACGCTAAATGACAATAAGCATCCCCTTCCTCAGTTCACACGTCTCACTGAGCACAATCTCAGTAATATTACCGTCACAGAACGTGAGATCTCTAGATTAATCAAAGGCCTTGAGCCTAAGAAAGCCACTTGTCCAGACAAACTTCCGGTGGTTGGACTTAAGAACATTAACCCAGAATTATCCCTAATCCTAGCAAAGTTATTCAACTGCAGCTTGGAGGAGAAATCCTTCCCAAACCTGTGGAAAGTGTCAAGCATATGCCCGGTTTTCAAGAACGTGGACGTGATATCTTCCCCCTCCCAATACAGACTCATCAGTCTCCTCAGTATCATCAGTAAGCTCTTTCAGGCTATATTCAGTAAGGTCGCCCAGCACCTAAAAAAGAACAAACTCTTCATAGCTATGGGTTTCGGTCGGACCGATCCACTGCCGTCTTAACTGCCGTCACACACACGCACACAGAGTCTGTGAGGTTCTTAACGACAAACTCGAAAACCATAGTACTAGATATCTCAAAGACTTACGACAAGGTACGGTACAAAGGCTTACTACACAAGCTCTCCTGTCACTAGAAATCTCTTCTCGATCATAAAATTCTTCCTAACAGGTAGGTCCCTGAAGGTAGCTATCAATGGGCAGCCGCCTGGAGCTCTAGAGGTCAACTCAGGCGTCCTCTAGGGGTCACTCCTCGGACAAACCCTCTTTTTCATCTACATAAATGATCTGCCTAAGAATATACTCAGATCATTTGTAAACATCTATGCCGATTATACGACTATATACGGGCGCCCCTCTAAAACTCTCGTTGGTTAGAGATTAGCGATTGAACGTTCTTCCGATCTTGTACAAACTACCCAATGGGATAAAAACTGGTTGGTTGCATTCAATGTCATGATGAGCGAGCGAGTGACATTCCAATACCGTCGATCTGGCCCCAGAACTACCACTAATTAGGATGAACGGCGGTCCACTCGGGTAAACACCGTGCCTTGAAACCCACACTCGACCTCAAGTGGAACACGTACATACGATCCATTGCAGGTAAAATGCTTGGTTCCCTGTAACACTCCAGTAAGTACCTGACCCCTACTGTACCACTTTAGTAAGTACCTGACCCCTCCTTCACAAGAGCTAAAAATGGATTTTTGCTGTCATATTTGGGCGGGAGCTGGCTAGACCCCAATTCTCCAGACTTGATAGTTAAAAAAAAAACAACATTTCAACGCCCTTGACGAACTTGTCTCTACCCTCCAACCTCTCTCCCATAGGCGGGACGTGGCAAGCCTCTCACGTCTCTAACGCTACTTTCACGGAAAGTGCTCAGACGAACTACATTCCCTGGTCCCGCCGAGACTAACCCTCACAGCAAGAACACGTTATGCCACTTACAAAGCACCTTCATTCTCTACGTACCCCATCGGTTCCACTCGAAAAGCCTATTTCCGCGAACTACTGCCCTGTGGAACCAACTCCCAAGAAGATGTTTCCCCGATCACTACAATCTTAACATCTTCAAGGCTAGGGTTAACCGTTTTCTTCCACTCCTGTACACAGAAATAGACCCCAAGCGTAAACCTCTGTATCAAATACCCACCCCCGGGCCTTGAAAAGGGAGAATCTCGCTACAAAAGACAAAAAAAAACATAACTTTTCACATCAAAATGTTATTGAAGAGCTATTAAAGATCTTTCTGATGAGTGGCAAGGAGTCATGGCAAATAAAGGTGAATATATAAGTGAATAAAATGTAATGATTTTATTTGACTATTTAACGGCATATCAACACCTTATGAGTCATTTAAGACCGAAATTTAATTTTCTTGAGAGCTTTGAAGTAATAAAAATATGATATATGTTATTCTGCTTTCACACTTGAATACATGGTAGATAATACTCAGCTTTTGTGTATATACATGTTTGTGTGGACATAATTACTAGAGGCGGTGATATGTGTGTTTTATGTTGTAGTTTTGTTGACATTATATTTTGGAATAGAGTTTGATTTAATAAATTGTCGGATATTATATGGATTAATATCATGACAGAATTCTTTCATGTTTGTTTGGTAGTATTTTAAACAAATTTGGGTGAGGTCGCTACCATTTGTTCGTGTGTATTGTTGGTAATTTTACCATAAATATGTGTTGTTGGTATTTTTTATATAAAAATGTATTGCTAGTATTTTTACTGTATTTTTTTTTAACTTTCATAGTGTTTTGTTTGGGGTTCCACTATTTTCTCATAGCTGGGGTACTAACAAGTGCTACCACATCAGGTCAGGGTACAGCTGGGGAACAACAGCAATTAAGACGTGGTTCTACGGCTCTTCAAAACCTCCAATCTCCCGATTAGAGGCCCTGCTGCCGGATGTAGTTTATCGTCATATCCAGGACTAGAATAAAATGTAATTGTACTTTATGACTCGGCCTAATATTAATATTCTATTAATAAAGAATTCAAATAAGTTAAGGCTGCACTAGACGTGTTTTAAATTGGTGTTTTAGATTTTTTAAAAATACTTGCGACGACGCAGTGTCAATGGGCCACGCAACTTAGTCCTGAGAATCAGGAAACGCATCTACGTGTTATTTAATCCTCTTTATATTACCAAACTTCTCTCTCTCTTTCTCTCTGTTTGTCTCTCTCTCTCTTTCACTCACTCTCTCTCTCTCTCTCTCTCTCAATTTTTCTGTTTTTTCTCTATCTGTCTTCTCTCTCTTACTCTTTCTGTTTTCTTTCTCTCTTTGCCTCTTTTTCTCTCACTTTACTTATCTCTCCTTTTTCTCACAATCTAACTTTTTCTCTCTTTTCTTTCTCTCTCTCTCTCTCTATCTCTTTTTCTCTCATTTTATCTCTCTGTCTTTTCTCTCTTTCTCTCGTTCTTTCTCTCTTTTTCTCTCATTTTATCTGCCCACCTCTCTCTCTCTCTCTCTCTCTCTCTGTTTCTTCTCTTTTTCTCTCATTTTATCTATCTCTCTTTTCTCTCTTTCTCTCGTTATTTCTCTCTCTCTCTCTCTTTTTCTCTCATTTTATCTCTCTGTCTTTTCTCTCTTTCTCTCGTTCTTTCTCTCTTTTTCTCTCATTTTATCTGCCCACCTCTCTCTCTCTCTCTCTGTTTCTTCACTTCTTCTCTCATTTTATCTGTCTTTTCTCTCTTTCTCTCGTTATCTCTCTCTCTCTTTCTCTCTCTCTCTCTCTCTCTCTGTGAAAAATAGAAACGAAAATCCGTCCATAATGTCTCCTGATCCTGAAAGTAAAGTGTATCGCCTTAATCTGGGTAAGTGTTACACGTCAAGAATGTTAGACACAACGACATGAAGGAAAAAAAATAAGATCAGAAAAAAAGAGAAAAGAGATTAGAGAATAAATAAATAAATAAATAAGAAAGAAAGAAAGAAAGAAAGAAAGAAAGAAAGTGGGAAGTGTTGGATAACATACGTCAGGACAAGAAAGAGGACACATAACCATTTAGAGAAGACAGCAAAGTGTAGTTTTTTCTCTAGCAGCATTGATAATGTTACTATGATTTTTCGAGGTCTGCCAGTACTGATAAAAAACAACACCGAGGTTGTGCGATGGCGTGATTTATGTGAACGTTTGTAGAAAACGAACTGTTTTCCTTGTTTTTTTTATTTTTTTTTATTTTATTTTTATTTTTTTGCCGCTATCTAATCGTTTTCTTAGATTTGATAATTCTACAGAACTTGGTTAACGAATTTTTCGTGTCTGCAAGATACGTTTGACGCACGTACACCGAATTTATTCAGTAAATGCTGAATCTACCATATTCATCCTGATACGTAATGCTTGCAATTGTTTCGGTTAAATACCAAAGAAAAAGGCATGAACTCGGTTAACCCGTATCCGATACTCCTCTCAACAGTGATTCCATTTTCCATCCTCTGCGAAAATACTTCCCAGATATCTAAATTGTTGTACTTGTATGATTTTGGTATCCACAATTTGTAATTTGCATATTGTACTGTTTCTTTTGCTGACAACTAATCTCAGCATCCTTCTGTAGAACCACATTTTTGTTGCTTCGAGTCTCTTCTTCATGTGGAAGGACTCTGTTAAAACACTTCCCAGATATATTAATCGTTCTACTTCTTTAGATTTGGGATCCCCTATTTGTAATTTGTATGTTGTGTTGCTCCTTTTGCTAACAACCATTCATTTTGTCTTCTTATGATTGGGCTTTAGTCCTTTATTCCCGCTTTCCTTTTCTACCTTCTGTAGGAGTTCTTGTAGTTTCTTTTCTCTATTCTCTCTCTGAACACTGTCTCAATTAACCTGGGGAGGAGGGGTTCAGATCATTACTATACCAACCAACTGCAAGAACTATTTTCCTACTTTTTTTTTACATAAGAATAGTTGTCTATGTCTCTAAGATGAGGTATTATGATTATTAACATTATGTAAATATTCGAACTGCTATGCTCATCTTCGCCGCTATATTCACAACGTTTCGGCCGTTGTATGCTCCGGCCTTCTTCAGGTGATTGGAATTTCGCTCCGGAAGAGGCATGGCACGTGGGACTAGGACAATCTACTCCGGTGGACGGAATAAAAAGGTTCGTTTCGAAATTCCAGTTACCTGAAGAAGGCCGGAGCGTACAACGGCCGAAACGTTGTGAATATGGCAATGAATATGTGGATAACATTCCGAATAATGTAAATAATATTTTTTTTTATTTTTATTTATTTAATTTATTCTTAATTTTCAACACACATCTTCAGTATTTTGTGACATACAGAAAATTCTTAATTTGTTAATTTCTCCAAATTTGGCACTCTATGCATCAGACTGGGGTTATTTAATATCGAAATCAGACATTTTTTTTTAATATTTGATAAATTTAAAGGTTAATTTCGTTCTTTTTTGGGGCTCGAAAAACCCAGGCTGTTAGACGAAAAATTCTATTTTTTGTCTTATTCAAACAGTGTATCACTAAATATAACTCATATTGTGATAAGTAATATAGTCTGATTACAAATAAAATTTCATTAATTCCTTCGAAAATATTTTGGATACGAAAATACAGTTAGCAGATATGGGCTTAGAAATATCTTAACGGGATATGCGCTTTCTTTTGTAAGGGCAATTGAACATTCGCCATGAAATTCCTTCATGGTGGAAAAATCGAAAAACACACTGGACTTTCTATTATGCTGTTATCCAGCACATAAGGTGAACACAAGTTCAAAACTCGCCGAAGGTCGGATTTTCTTTATGGAAAAATAAAAGCCAAGGCGGTGGGGAAAAATATAATGATTCTTACGACAAATGGTGTCAAGATGGCTAAAAGATTTATCTGAAAACCTGTAAAAAAGAAACTCAATTTAGTTTAGTGTTTTTTAGATATTAAAAACGATTTGGACATTTTTGCTGTTACACACGGTACAGCTTATGTTTCTAATAAATGTGTCGTAAAATGCTAACAGTTTGGGAAACGATTTTCGTGATATTTCAAAAATCCTTACATCAATTTTTGTTTTGACTGCTTAATTCAATAGTAGCCTAAACTAAAATCCTTTTTTTTCTTAAGTTGCTATTATTTTTATTTATTTTTTATTTTATTTTATTTTATTTTTATTTTATTTTATTTTTTTTTTTTTGTGGGGGACTTTTCCCCTAAAAATGATAAAACATTTGTGTCCTTCCAGTTTGAATGCTGTTTGACACTTGCCCTTATTTCGTTAAAGAAATAAATATAGTCTATACTTAATACGTTTAAACGTGCGATGTATTATATTTTATGATAAATGATGATTACATTTAGATAAAAAAAATAATAATAATCTGACTATTTGGTGTGGTAAAGTTAATGATAATATTAACCGCTTCCTCATAAGGAAACAGTCGACATTCATTGACTGAGCATTTGATCAGACATTGCTATATACGGTTGAACCGTTATTGCGCTTTCCAGTATCGATGGGAGTTTCCTTCCTAACATTCGATCGAATTCTTTTCCGTTGATTTGAATTTAAAACGTATAAAATGTAGCTTAGTCACTGTTTCATTCATTTCTCAAGAGTGATCAATGACTGAAAATGCTTTCCGAAATGTATCTGTTTTAACAATAAATTATCCGTTGGAAAGACAAGTTGTTCTTTTTATGCAACCAAATATTATGTTATTTACTTTAGGACTATCTGTTCCTTAACTTTTTCTCACCTAAAATGGAGTGATATAATACAAACCGTGACTAAGTTACATAGTATACCTTTTAAATTCAAATTAACAAAAAAATCGATCGAATTTATAAACTCAATTGCAAAGATTGTCCAGCAAATTATATTGGGATGACCTCCAGATCACTAAAAGAAAGAATAGACGAACATCGGCGTATTTATACTAAGGTAATAAAAAATGAACCGACCAAAAAAAAAATCCTAGAGAATTCTTCAGCAATTGCACTTCACGCCATCAATGAAGGTCAGAAAATAGATTTTGACCAACATGAAATAAAATAAAAACCTACCGAAAATGTCAATAGAATTGATGCAGCACAGATTCACCCAGCATGGACTTCCCTACTTCAATGGAAAATACGAAAAATCTAGAAGGAGTATTTTTTTCTATTCCTTTTTTCATTAAATAATTCTCACGCTTTCAGCTTACGCATGTCTTGCGAAGTGAATTCGATCGAATGTTTTCTGTTAATTTGAATTTATAACGTATAAAATGTAGCTTAGTAACTGTTTCATTTATTTCTTAAAGGGGATCAAGGATTGCAAAAGCTTTCCGAATTATATCTGTTTTTTGCAATAAATTATCCATTGGAATTACAAGGTTTTATTCTTTTTAATCCAACTTCACCAATGGAATCAAGCGTTTTTACAACATTAGCTTTTACCCACACATGAATGTAGAACCTCGCACTAAATCTTACTACTACATTTGTCCTTATGGAAAAGCAAATAAACCATATCTGTTCCATTTCTTTCCATGTATCCCTAAAAACTTTTTTTGTCTACTAATGCCTGTTATTTAACATACACATAGGTATCTTACAAATTCTCAGAACTGCTCACTATTCCTCATAAAACTTCTATTCCTCAAAAGAAAATCCTTCATAATGCCTGAAGAAATGTCATTATACTTAGCTGACATTTTTTTTTTTTTTTGGATATATGTACTTTAATGTACTGTAGTAGAAAAATATGTGCAATCAATTTGTGACTGTTTATAAAAAGTGTATATCTTTAGATTTTGGGAGACAAAATATGGGGGTTTTGTGAAGTTGATGTTTTTGTTTTTGATTAAAATTATTGTTTTTTTTTATTTATTTATCTTTTTGATAAATCTTAAAGTATAAATTAGATATTTATATTTTCTGTATAAAATATTTTTTAAAAGTAGGTAATATTTTTTCAATATCCTTATGTAAAGATAAATTACACAAAAATGAGTTAATTTTGTCTGTTTTATGATCAAAGTGTTTAAAATAAGAATCCAATTAAAACGAGAAATACAAATCAGAAGAAGCAAGAGTTATTTGCCTCTAAAAGCAAGTATGTATTTTTGTTGGTCAATAGAAGAAAAGTTATTGAAATTCTCTGAAATTAAGCTGCAATATCAAATAGTTTTGAGGTTACCATCTCAAAAGAAAATCCTTCATAATGCCTGAAGAAATACCACTATATTTGGGTATAGAATTATGAAGTTGGAATTACAAGTTTTTGTTCTTTTAATTCAACTTTACCAATGGAATCAAGCGTGTTTACTATTCGTAACATTTTATTTATAAATTAGTATAGGCCGCTAACATCTTGGTTACGTCATTATTTTCCCTTCGAAATAAATCTGCTATCCATTTTAGTGGTTGCCGTTTTTAAAAGTCTCTCAGCGATGCGGTCTATGTTATTGGGTACAGTCTTTTGTTTGCGATTCTGTATCCTTAGTCTAGGGATTTGCAAAAGGATTCTTCCCTCTAAGACTGAAAGCCATTTTTAAAACATTGCTCTAAGAAAGTAGTTGTATACAGCTGACATTTTAGATATTTCTGAAAGGGTTTGCTGTCATGTCTGGCGTCCGTATGAAAGTCACGACCTGAAGAAACTATTTAAGAAAATGAATCGTGTTTTCAAGTAACTAGGCTAGCATCTCGCTCTCACCCTTTCACTGTTGAAACTGTTAAATGTAGCCGTCACTTCTACTTTAATAGCCCCTCTCGCCTGTGGAACACCCTCCACTTTTCTTGTTTCCCTGATAGCTATAATCTCTGTAACTCCTTGCGTGCTAGTGGCTTCCCGCTTTGCTTAGGGTGAAACGCTGAAAAAAAACTTTTTTTGGTTTTCGTAGTAATTTCAGTGTTAAGCGAAATTAACTATAGCGCAACCTGTCACATGAATCTTAAAGAGAAAACAATGACAGAATCAAGATGTTAAGCGTTCCACACTACTTTAAACAAAAGGTTAGGAAGGAAACTTCCATCAATAGTAGAAAGAGCAATAAGATTTAATGAAAATAATGATATAATCAAGATGTTGACGTTCTACATTATTCAAACAAATGGCAGAGACCCCCATTAATAGCTGTAACAACTAATGAACTTGAGAAACATATTTTCTTGAAAAATTATCTTGGTAGAAAATTTTATAAATTTCAACTGACAGTAGTACTGGGTTCTCTGTCAATTAATTCCAAATATTTCCTTATAAGGAAGCAACTATCATTAACATTGCTATTAAACGCACAATCATGGCTTTGAGAAACAGGCATTTTGAAATTAAGTTATCTGGGACGATATTCTTACGTAAGACTCTGAAAGATATCTGATACGTTTAATTTTACTTTTACTTTTAATCTGTATAGCTTACGATTTACCAGCCTCTCGAATTTGTGTTATTTTAATGGATAAATTCTCCAATTTGTGTTTCTTCTTTTTTTACTTTTGGTTTTAAAAAAAGACAAAAAAATTGTTTCGTAACGCACGGGATAGGTTAACAACCTAGCCTCAAAAATCTAAATAGACACTAGAAGAATACTAAAAAAAAAAAAATGGCCAACTTTACATGTCCTGACCCTCCAGGCATTAGGAATTTTGAAAATAAGTTATCTTGGACGATATTCTAAGATGATACTTAACTAGAATTTCTGGACCAGGATTTGTTCAAAATCTCTCAGTGGTATCTGACAGATTTAATTTTACTCTTAATTTTAATTTGTATCATTTACGATTTACCACCTTTTTTTCAAATTTGTGCTATTTTAATATACAGTGTAACCCGGATATAAGAGAGTTGTCGGGACCGGAGAAGAAGTCTCTTATATCCGGGTTTCTCTTATATCCGGGTTAGGTCTATTTTGTTTAGCTAAGTATTGCTCTAATTTGGGACCAGAGAATATATCCGGGTTCCTCTTATATCCGGGTCTCTTATATCCGGGTCTCTTATATCCGGGTTTCTCTTATATCCGGGTCTCTTATATCCGGGTTACACTGTATAATGTTTTCATTTAGCTTTTGTTATTCTGCTGCTTTTGGCCGAGAAAGACAGAGGGAGGGATTGTTTCGGAAGGCACGGGATCGGTTAACATCCCACCTCCAAAAATTCAAATAAAGTTTAGAATAATAATAAAATAATAAATACCCCCCCAACTCTATTCTGGTAAGGGATATTTCGACTTCTACTAAGTTAAAATTTAATAGATAACATAATAATCTTAGTTTTCTAAATAACCTACACTATCATAATTATCGGCAGTTAATCCTACACTAGGAAGGAGAGAGACGATAATGGAAAAGGGAGGAATCAGCTCAAGTAAGGTACCACTGTAACCAAAAACATTCCTGTGTCCTCGACGATATTCTGTGGTCTGATACATTCATTTTTCTTTTCCCTTTTTGAAAAGGAGTAGATAGATAAAAAGACATAATAAGTGGAGTAATGGATAGCGGCTGGGATTGAGGAATCGGAGAGCCGAGTTCGAATTCCATTCGAATCCATTGCATTCACTTACATGCTAACACCCTTGGGAAAGATATGAATCCACCTCTCCCCCCAACTATGGGTAAATAGCAGGACAGGCCAGGTTCTATAGCCTTGGATGGCAACTTGTCTACCACAGAAAGAAATGGCAATCTACTGCGGGAAAAAATCTGCCTCGTCAATCATGTATCGAAAGATACATGATCGCCTGGCACATAACTGACTGGCAGGTCTACCTATTGCGTGGTTCATACTGCTTCCTTTTCTTTTGAACAGGAGCAGGGGTTTATTCCTTGTTTTCTGTTTAGGATGGGGTTTCTGGTTTCCTTCTTCTGAGAGGGAGGCTGTCATGAAATTTTGATGATATGACTAGATACTAGCTAAGACTCTTCATACTGAGGGTTCTGGGTTGACAGCTGTCTGATTCCTGCATCCCGACTGGCAATTAGGAGTCCGAAATCTTGGTTCAGTGCCAGAGACTGTTCTGATAAACAGTCACATAATATCGGGGTTCTTGCAATGCCATATCGCGCACGGTAAGATGTCCCTGTAAGTACTTCTGGCCGGCAACTCTGAGGCCACCTTATGCTGCAGTCTGCGTTAATTCCCAGCCAACACATATTACCTTAGATGACCGGTAGCTACTATTATTATTGGTTGTTTTCCACTTTAAAAACATAAGGCAAGCATGTTCTCAAACATGCAAAGTCACTATTTGCTGATAGAATGAAACACAATATAGCCTCTGGCAATTTTGTTTCTATAGAATACTGGCGGCTGTGTAAGAGTGCGCTGAATAATAGCAAATCCTCATTCCCTTCTTTCTTCAATCAATTTGAAGTATTTATATCTACTGCAAATAAGGTAGATTGCTTTGGTTGGAAACTGTCTTCTAACTTCACTCTTGACTCATCAGGAGTAGCTCTGCCAGATTTTCCCCTAGAAATGAGATTATACTTTGTGATATGGGCATAGCCCCGTCACTGTTTTCTGGTGTATTTTCTGAATTAGATATTTCACAAGGAACGAGGATGTCACAGGATCCCTACCGTCGTCCTCAAGAAATGTGCTGCTGTTCTCTCCAAATTTTGCAACAAATGACTCGCTGCTTCCTACTCTCCTGCTTTTTGAAATCCTTCTCTATACCTCCGGTTTAAAAAAAAAAAAACCCTGGGGAACCCTCTGTCTCGTCAAATTATCGCCCTATTAGTCTCTCACTTATTTTCAGCACTGTACATGAGTCTCCAATTAATACCAAATTGGTTAAGCATCTAATTTCTTTCGGACAAACAATAGGGCTTCCGTTTCCCCAGGTCTATCGCCAACCTTTTAAAGGCCGTCACGTAATTTGTCTATCAAGCCGCAGATAAGAATGCCGAAGCAAGGAATGTGGCTCTAGATATCTCGAAGTCATTCGTCAGGGTTGGGCATACTGGCCTTCTTCGGAAGCTCAAGGGTTAAGGTGTCTGGGGATGAATATTTGCCTTCATGTCGCATAATCAAACTCGTATTGAATGGGCATGCTTCTAAATCATTTCATACTAACGTGAGGTAATCCAGAGTTCTCTCGTTCGACTTAGGTTCTTTCTGATGTTCATCAATGATTTCTTCACTGCCCAACTAGGATCACATGTAGATGATACAACCATTCAATCCTATCTTAGCAGGAAATCTGAGTACCTCTTATGGTCGCTCTGTCTTGTGGAGTGACTTGCGTGGTGCAGTGATTCTGACAGCGATACCGTCGGTTCTAAACTCCTGGTAAAGCCACTCTTGGCAGCAAGTTCGACACGAGGATTCTAACTGAGGACTACCAACATTTAAAGATGTGTCGGTAATGTAATAGATACTGACCAGGCATCACGACTTCAGTCACTTTTTCACCGAAGCTTTCTCACCGACGCTTTCTCACCGAAGCTTTCTCACTGAAGCTTTCCCACCGACGCTTTCTCACCAAAGCTTTTCCAATGAAGCTTTCTCACCGACGCTTTCTCACCGACGCTTTCTCACCGACGCTTTCCCACCGAAGCTTTCACACCAACGCTTTCCTACCGAAGCTTTCTAA